TTGCCTTTTTGTGAATTAAACTAAAAGAAGTCAAATGAGTCGTATCTCTGCTATTTTTTTTTTCTTTTAGAGCCCAGTGTTTCCAAAGGACATTAAGTTTTATTTCTCTAATGAAGGCATGTGGCTACCCCTCATGCTTTACAAAACATTACCAAGTCAGAGCCAAAAACAGAATTGTTAAGTGAACATTATTTCTAAACAGTTATTTTTCATTGTTTAGGGAAAAAATCTCAAATATCTCAGTAATTCATTCCAATATATTCACTTTCTAAGAGATGTGGGAAAAGAAGGGAGAAAGAACACACAGGTGGAAAATGGCTTTTTACTGTGGACAGTTGATATTTAAAAATTTTTTAGAATCCAACATCTTTCTAAAACAGTATTTTATAAATAAGATCAGCTATGCAAGAAAAAAACTTACTCTGGAACATAAACACTTACTTATACTTTAATGTTACAGTAAAATGTATGTAAAGTAATGGACATACTAGCTTGTTAACAATATTTAAATCCTTCAGATCAAGAAACTTTTTCTTGAAATTTTTCAAAATTAAAATACTTTTTTTAAAAAAGGAAAATATTTAGGCTAATAAAATCGTTATTAGATTCAGCAGCTCTACTAAAGTGTAAACTAGGTTATCTGCTCAAGAAAAAACTACTGGGACTTGAAATAATGTGGATCTCCTTATATTAGTAAAGTGATCCCAGAAAACATTAGTTCTTCCTAATATGTGCTGGATTTGATTCCTGAGAATAAAGTTTATAATTACCATCTCCACTTAATTAAGGAAAATCATGCCTTGATTATATCTATTACATCTTTACAAGGAAAGATGTTTAAATCTTAAAATCACTAACATTACAGGATATGTATTCCACCAATACTTCTGGAGTTTCAAAAGCTTTTCCTCCCAGTTAATGAAAAGGTGTACCGTGCTGGTTCCATATAGGTGTAACTTAAATTGCTTACAAATATTGTAAAAGTATCCTAACCTAAAGACAATATTTTTCTAATCAAATATAACTCTTTAAATCACATCCCCCCCCACCACCACCCCAAGACACACACACACACACACACACACACACACACACACACACACACACATCCCTTGGAAGTTGAGGGAAGAAAATTTCAGTAGAAACTGTCATTAGCAGTAAATAACTCCTTGATGCTTTGGGGTTATATTTTCTAAAATAGTTGCAAGTTGATCAAAATAAATGATTTATTGTTATAATTTTCCATAGCTTCTGTGTACTGCAAAGCAACAATTTAATAAAGTAATAGGATTTCCCTCCTTAAAAGAAAAAAGTGCTCATTAGCGTTTGTAATTCCATGTTGTACTGCACGTTAAGTGTTGTGAAAAGGTTATGGATCTACTCCCTATAGCATCAAAAGTGTAAAGGTGATAGGTGAGATTCTCTTTGTTGCAAGTGCTGAGAAATAATCATTTAAAGGTCAGTTGCACTCAAAAAAAGAACTTTTGTTTAATAAGTAACTCATTTTGGGATATGCTGCACTTTTAAAGGTTAGAGTAGACCAATTTACCAGTGATGTCAGCAAGAAGTACTATTAGAGTCATTAGTCCTAGTAAAACAATCCTTTGTAAAATTCAGATTGCATGCCTTCTCACATACTCCAGCACACATCAAAAAGTGCCTAAATTATTTATAGTATGGTTTCAAGGAGACATTGCCTTGTGCACTTGACCTTAAGTACTTAAGGTCAACAATAGAGTATTAAGTAGGAAAGTATGTTAGTGCACACACATATATACATATCATCCTACATCTAATTAATTCTATTTTGATTTATTCTTTCAGTTTTCTGAATTTCTAAGAACATGCCTATGTGTCATGGACTATAATTTCTCACTGGATCGTACACCAACTATTTTGTTAGAAACTCTTATATAAATTAAATAAATATTGATTCAACAATATAAATAAAAATCTATTTCTCTTTTACAATTCCAAGACCAACTTCTCTCTATTACTCTACCCCCAAAAAATTCAAAGATAATTTGGTTTGGCAATAAAATGGAATAATAATCTGATGTGTAGACAAAAGAGAAGTAACAGTAATTGTAATATGAAGAAAAATGTTTTTAATATCAGGGTTTTTTTTCAAAATCTGTACAAAGGTGGTGGTTTATTTAATATAACTTTGATATACTATTAAAATTTTGCCACTAGGAAACTAATGCCCAATAAATAAAGGTCATTTTGTGTGTTTTTGTTTTTAATATTTAGAATTTTTGAAGCAGTGCTTTAAACTGGCAATAATTTTCTCTATAAAATTAGCTCTTGACTTGAGATGAGTATATTAATAAAATGACTTCAAGAAAAACCTCTGCAGAAAGCAATCCCTCTGCATACTTGATTGCTTAAGATTTACATTTACTTTTTACTCTTTATATAGGTGCAAAACTTCCCAGTTGTGACATTTTGTTGGTGGTAAACAGTGAGTTCTCAGATTTTTATAAGGAGTTGATTTTTAACATATGCTGAATAAGAAATTTAATTACAGTACATTTTTATGCAAACCTCTAAGATTCGTTTTTTATTTAGATTAAAGGAACTAAAAAGCTTATAACTCTTACCCCATTGTAAAGTAAGAACTATCTTTATGTACATAAGACATTCCCAATTAGGAGAAAATACAACACTTATTTCAAGCAAGTTAGCTAAGAATCAAGTTATTCTCTTAATTTGCCTTGCTTTTCATTTGGAAGAAGGCAAAATCTATTTCCTGGGCAATTTTGCAGAGCAAAGATATTAATACTTCGGGGTTTAATTGTATCCTGTGTTTAAATACACTGTGGGTGAAACCCCAGACCTCTGCTTAATTGCTGTGAGAAAATAGCCTGATTTCTCTGAGATTAGGCACACGCTTATGTATACTTTGACCCAAGAGTGCCTCCTTCAGAATTAATCTTCTAAGGTAGAGGGATTTGCTTTTATATGTGCAGCAGGGCCATTCGTGACAAATGGGGCCTAATAAACTAACTTCATCCTCCAGACCTCGCTTTTGCTGTCAAAGTTTTTCTTCATCTATTCATTTTATACATCTCTTGTCCAGTGGCTTATTAGCAAAATCCTAAACTGGGCAGGAGGAATAATTTTAATGGTATTTTTTAATTAGAGGACTTTGAAATTTAAATCAAATACGTCAGAACTAAAACTGTAAAAAAAAAAACACTTTAGTTGTTATTAATGAAACATAAGTGTTCTAAAATAACTCCATTTAAGTAAATACCAGAGCCCCGTAAAAAGACAAACAATTCATATTTACTTAAAATTTTGTTCTGCAGCTGTATTTTGTTGGATTCATCTAATGTATGAAAGCACTTTTTCTTTCCCATCAGCTACATCAGAATTGTTATTGTAAAATGTAACAGTATGTTCTGGTTTTTAAATATTTATATTAATCAAAGTTAGGGCTGTTTATATTTTTTGGCAATAGGGCTTTTCTTTAAAAGTGATGCACTTCCATTTAACTAAACAAAAGTGTTGAAATGGCCTGTCATATAAACTTCAACATAGTACAGTTGGTAATAGAAATTTTGAGGACAGGAAGACGGGGAGTTAGTTTCTAGGCTTCAGGTTAAACATGGATTAATAAAATGTGCGACATTGATAATTTCCAAGGTTTTCATGAGGAAACGTCATTCATTGCCACTTATAAACCATAGAGTTACCTGGCTGAAAGGTTTGCGTTCAAGTTTCTTACTCTGTTTTCTTGGGGCACTGATAAGTCAAGCCTAAAAGCTGGCTAAAAAAATGACAAACCACTAAAGCTTGGGCTTACTAAATCATTCAGTTCATAAAAAACTCATTTATATTTTATACATTTCTAAACTTTTTAGTAATGAAAAAAAATACCTCATGTTACTTAAGTGCAATCTTCTACATTTGTGAGCAGAAATAGCTCAAACTAAATCTCTTTGAGATCAAATCTCCAGTTATTGTTATTGTTATAAGACTTGATTGGCGAATATGGAAACTTATGGTCCATCTAGACTCTCAGGAGGGAAATGAATTCTTTATTCAAGAAATTTAAACAGCAAGCCAAC